ATGCCCCTTCTTCATGAGTTCTTCAACCTACTTTTGTAGTTCTTTCATCTCATTGGGGTTGCTTCGATATGCTGGTCGGTTTGGAATTGTTGCACCTGGAATGAAGTCAATCTGATGCTCAATTCCTCTTATTGGTGGTAAACCATTAGGGATGTCTTCTGGAAACACGTCCTTGAAGTCCTATAAAAGAGATTTAACAACACTAGGCAAAGAATCATTAAGTTCGTTAATGTTGAAGTAAGCATCTTTATACAAAAGCACAAACATAGGCTGCTTTACAAAGAACACAACCTTGACATCACTTTCTTTTGCATAAACACTCACTGATTTTCTCTTTTTGTTTTCAACACTCTCAATCTTTTCTCTCTTTTTGGACTCTTTTTCTGCTGTTTTCTTTTTGTTTTTCATACCCTCAAGCTCACTCTCATTTCTCAACTCACTCTCTTTTTTTACTCTCAGTTGATCCTCATAAACCTGCCTTGGACTCAATGGTGCAAGAGTAATTGTTTTTCCCTCCATGACAAATGAATAGCGATTTTTGAAGCCATCATGTGTTACCCTCCTATCATATTGCCATGGTCTCCCTAAAAGTAAATGTCTAGCACGCATAGGAACCACGTCACAATGTACCTCATCCTTATATCGTCCAATAGGGAATGAAACCAGAACTTGCTTATTTACCTTGATTTCTCCACAATCGTTTAACCATTGCAGCTTATATGGCCTTGGATGCTTCGTCATAGGTAAATTAACCTTTTCAACTAAAACAGTGCTAGCTACATTAGTACAACTACCACCATCAATAATCACACTACATACCTTCTTTTTGACATGGCACCTCGTGTGAAATATATTGTCACGTTGTACTTCATCATCTTCTTTGGCTTGCACATTCAAAGTTTACCTGGTGACCAGCAGTTCTCCATCAACAGCATATTCCACACCATCATTAGCATCTTCTAATGGTGGCATAGATTCATCATCCGATTCACCCTTGGTTTCAATTTCTCCATCTTCTCTCAAGATCATCGTGTGCTTATTAGGACATTGCGATGCAACATGCCCCCTTCCCAAGCATCGAAAACACTTGATGTCTCGGTTTCTGACTTGATGTCTCGGTTTTTGCCTTGCTTATTATCTGTTTTACTCTTTTCATTGCTGCCAATTTCTTTTGACTTAGATGCTGCAGTTTTAGGCTTAAAAACAGAATTTTCTTCATTTTGCTCCAATTTAGTTTCCAAGAAGATGAGGAACCTAAATTTTGCCCAGTTTTAGTGGTGGCACCTTTACGCTGGAGTTGCCTTTTTACTTTCATTGCCATGTGCACCATATCCTTTAATTCAACATAATGCTGCAGGTCCACCACATTAGTTATATCACGATTTAAACCATGCAGAAACCATGCCATTGTTGCTTTTCTATCCTCTTCGACATTCACTCTAACCCTTGCGATTTCCATCTCCTTGTGATAATCCTCAACGCTTCTGGACCCTTGAGTAAGGCCTTTTAATCGTTGATAGAGATCGTGGTAGTAGTGACTAGGAACAAACCGTTTTCTCATCACAGCCTTCATCTCTTCCCAAGTGTCAACAAGATGTTCTCAATTTCTACGTCGACTAAGCACAAGTTGATCCCACCATACCACAGCGTAATCAGTAAATTCCACTGCTGCTAGTTTCACCTTTTTTTCCTCAAAGTAGTTATAGCAATCAAACACCAATTCCACCTTCTTTTCCCACTCCAAATACACATCTGGATCATTTTTACCTTGAAATGGAGGAATCTTCATCTTGATGCTGCCTAAGTCATGATCTTGCTAATCTCCCCATCTTGCCAGATTTTGGTCTCCTTTGTTAAATCTATATCTTTGACCCCCTCTACCTCTCATAAATCTGTCCATGCTGAAATTTGAGTTCTGGGCATTATCGTTGAATGCATCTTCATCATTGTCGTCAAGATCGTGATTATGCAAATTTGGACTTCCATTCTCTGTTTGGTATAACTTGGCAATGGTTGCATCTTGCCTCTCCATTTTGTCTTTAATTTCACCAAACATGATGTCTAGCCTCTGAAATTGTTGTTGCATAGCTTTGAGCATGAAGGAATGATCACTTGGTGTTTTTTGTCATCACCGCTTGACATGATTGAAACCTGCAAGGAATGTTAGAAACAGAAAATAAAAGGACCTTTCAACACTCGTGTTTTGCACACTATAGAACTTGGCTTTTCTCTCAAGTATTGCTCACACCTCTTGCCTTTTTCCCTCACTCAACATTCCTCTTTTAGTTCATTATCGAAGTAACAAGCTCAATTCAAGTTATTTTGCAGCAATCTAACTCCAACAAATTTGCAAGAGTTAAAGGAAATAGAAAGACACAAAGGAACGAACAAGAAAAGCAATAAAAGAACCAAACCCAAACAAATTAAAATGAATAGGTTCAAGCACTTCATAGTAGGAATTGACTTGACTATTCCTTAATGCAGTAGGATTCCTAACTTAGGAAGGAATAAACAAAATTGCTAT